TTTTCCTTTTGGCACATTTTACACTGTAAGCTAGGACAGCATGCTAAAATATGAGCATGCAAATTCTAGTTAAGTGTATCTTTGACTGGTGTGGGATAATTGATCTAAACTAATTCAATAATTGATCTTATTGAAAGCAGTATTTTGTTTAAGATTCTAGTTCAATTTATTGGGATGTCCTTCTAGCATTGCTTTTATACAAGATTGAAATGTGTAGTTAACAATGGAAGTTACGTCTTCTGAGGAAGGTGGGACAAATAAACATGAAAAGCAGAAAAAGAACGGTATCGTGACACAGATTTGCATAGAATTCCCTTTGGATTTCCTATGTCCTTTGACTATCTAGGCTGACCTAGTGAGGCAATTAGCTCCATTAGAGTTATTTTTTCTTTCCAGTCCATGTAGATCTTTCAGCTTTGGCACCATTGGTGAAATGCCTGATAGGGTAGCTTCGTAATTTTGGCGATACTGGCGTTATGCATTTACCTGTTGTCTTCTTGCAGCGTGTGCCATGTTCAAACTGATTGCTGTCAGGCTGCTGGTAGTACTTAACGCCATGAGGAAGGGGAATCTTTTGATTCTGTGTCTTTAAATCCTGTATACATTTATTCTGCTGTTGCTGCTTCGGCTACTTGTGATACTACAATTCAGGTTTTCCTTTTTACTGAGCTTTTTCATTATAGGTGGGTTGCTTACAGCAATAAAAGGAAACTTAGAATATTGCAAATGGAAAATCATGGCTGGCAGGGTTTTCTACGGTTAACGCCTCCATTGTTCCTTTTGCTCTGTACTTTGAATACAGAAACTTAATGGACTGTAAAATCTATAACTGATTGCTTCAACCCTATGTCAGTAGCTCTGGTATTACAGTGATACCATTTGCTGTCCTTGCTAGTGGTGTTTGTTTCCAACCACTGTCAGTTCCTCTCCTGGCAGCACATGATGTTCTTCTATTTTGTAATACACCTACCTGCTTGAAAATAGGAAAACTGCCTGACAGGCGCTATTGGAGGCAAATTTTGCAAACTCTGGTTCCTCCACTGTTAAATATATGTTTGAAGGGGAAGAGGAGAAAAAAAAAAAAACAAAAACAAAAACAAACACAATTCTGTAAGATCAGACCTTTTCTAATTTTAAGAACAAATTAAAAAAAAATAAAATACTTCTTCAGTTGATTATTTGGAGACTTCAGAAAAATAATTAAATCTTTGCCCCTGGTGTCACTGTAGAAGAAATTTGTTCTGTATTAGCACATTTTGGGAAATCGTTGGACAAATACGGCAATATCCCCACTTGGCTATGTAGGCTGAATTTATTTGTTTTCTGTGGGTAGCTTTGTTTTTCCCCTGCTATCTCAGAGACAACTTTATTAACAAGTGGAGACATTTTTCAGTACCAGTAACAAGAACAAGGTTTAGAGTGCCTCTTGGAGCTCTTCTTTACATCATGAATTGAGACGCTCAAAAGAGAGAGTTGTTGGGGTTTTTGAAAGTAGTAGAATAAAAACATTGTTTACTATATAAAATATATGAAAAATCATAAAAACTTGTCAAGAAACTTAATGAAACTTAAATAAACATACTATGTGTGAGTGTTTCTGTTTATCAGCATTCTTTCATATTCACATTATGGTAGCTTCTGTGGTGGAGGATTCTGTGGGGTTTTTTTGTCAGACATAACTCATTATATCTAAAATTTGCAAAATTGTGATGTTCTGGCACATGAAATCATCATGAAGACTACTTATTATGTGTAAATGATCTCATTTGCTTACAGTTATATTTTTATACTTCTTACAAGAACATAAGAAGCTTTGCAGTCGCATGCTAGTGGGATTCTCTTTGGATGAAGTCTTATGCCACTGTCACAAAGAAGCCGAAGTCATACTTTAATCTTTTTAAGTGTATGAAATGCTTGTTTTCTAGTTCCTCCAACCAAAAAAAAACCCCCGAAAAGCACGGGATCAGTTTAAAATGGGTCAAGGTTATGTGTTCTGTGTCCTTTGTTGCATACTCTGAAGTTGGCAAACTTCCTAGTGGAAGGCCACAGCCATATCCATGTTAGTTTGTCAATGACAAGAATTCTGTCAGTGGAAGGAACCACATCAAGCTGAGAAAGAGACAGCGTACAAACTATGAACTATAATGAAATCCTTAAATCACCCTTGTCCTGTTTCCTCATCTGCAAAGATGCTGGCCAATATGAACAGCTGCTATACAAGGCAGAGCGGCTTGTTGGTATCTAGATGGTCAGCAGTGGTTAAGGCAGATATTAACATGTTTTAAGATATTTTTTTTTTTCATTTGATATCTTGCTAAGGAAGGCTATCACATACAGACACTTGTGAAGCTACCAAATTTATCATATCTTACTCGTGTTTTGCTACCTCAGGTAATACAGGTGGTGTGGGTTAACCCCAGAAGGCAGCTGAGCCCCAAGCAGCACTCGCTCGTTCCCCACAGTGGGTTGGGGGAGAGAGTCAGAAGGGTAAAAGTGAGAAAACATGTGGGTTGAGATAAAGACAGTTTAATAGGAAATGCAAAAGCTGCGTGCACAAGCAAAGCAAAATAAAGAATTCATTCACTCCTTCCCATTGGCTGACAGATGTTTAGCTATTTCCAGGAAAGCGGGGAGGAACTTGGAATCTTAAAGGCCTTCAGAAATAAAAGCAAAGAACTTCAGTGATGTAGCTACTTACCTACTTATGTGCTATAGAACTATGCCATAGGCCAGTGATTTTAATTCAAATATTCTGTACTGAGCCTTCCTGGTACTAAAGAAGGGAGTAGGCTTTTAAACTTCAGCATAGTTTTGTTTCAGAAACGCACTTAATGTTCTATATGTAAAGTGTAATTCACAACTAAAGAAATATGAACCTTCCTCTTATGTCACGAGTAATGTTTATTAAATATGATTGTTGAACTCCCTAGTGGAGGCTAACTCATTCTACTTCCTCATCCATTACAAAACCCACAACAAACCACACTTTTTAATAGTGTGCTGAGTAGTAAATGCTTTCTTAAATAGAAAAATACACTGCAAAAATTCAGAGTCTCTCTGATTTTTTTTTTTTTTGGACAATAGCTTTTATGCTAATTTTTAAATAACTGTTTATGGAGGATTTCCTGAATCGTAAGTACAATTTTGGTGTTCTTATTGTAAGTGTATCAGGGCCAAGAAGAAAAATAATGATTGTCAATTCTTGGCAACTAGTTAATAAATACATCTGAATAGAATATTGCACAATATTGCGTAACAAACTGTAGAAATTTTATTTTTTTTTTCCTCCAAGACTGAGAGTTTAATCCAGAAAGAAAATAAAAAGAACAACTGCTTTCACTTTTTGCAGATATTCAGAGTATCAGAGGTCTTGCAGTGGATTGGATATCACGAAATTTATATTGGATTAGCTCAGAATTTGATGAAACACAAATTAATGTGGCACATTTAGACGGTTCTTTGAAAACTTCAATCATCCATGGAATTGATAAACCCCAGTGTCTTGCAGTTCACCCGGTTAAAGGGTAAGGTATCAATGGTTTTAATAAATAAGTGACAGTAAATCTCATCAGAGGATTTCTTCTTTGTTCAGGTTTTGAATTTGCCTATTCTGTTTTCTTTCAAACTTAAAGTAAATGCATGCGTTTGAAAGATTATGCTGAGAATTTCTTAGCTGAATACTGCTTCCCTACTAAAGCTCACTGTTGATTAAATCATGTAATCATTAGTTGTACATTTTTCCTGCTTCTAAACTTATGTGCGTTTTCACTACCGATGCAGTAAAAATACTGTGTACATAAAGCAATGTTTTAAATACGTTCATTTTCTTCTTCAGTAAGCTCTACTGGACAGATGGTAACACAATTAACATGGCAAACATGGATGGCAGCAACAGCAAAATACTCTTTCAGAATCAAAAAGATCCTATTGGTAAATACATTTTTTCCTGTTTCTTTTTTATGTGCTAGTGCTTTATTATGGACATTATCTTGAAATGCTATTTAAGAATACCATCACGTTTTTCATATACTAAATAACAGTGATAGGCATAAAGACATGGAAAACAATGATGTACTTTTCATTTTCACAATTTAAAATATCTTTGCCCCATTCTAATTGAAATCTGCTTTAGTGGGTTAAGTGTAGTCGTATCAACTTCTAGGGTTACAGTAGACTGAAGGTGAAGGAGAACCCATCTGTATTTCTCAATCTGTGGATCATGAGTAAAAAAATGTAGACAGCAGGGTTTTAATAAGTTACGGATATATGTGAGAGGATGCTTTGACTGGAAATGTAGAACCTTCCTCACCAGAATCCCAGCTGCATGATCAAAGATAATTCAGCTCTTAAATTATCACATACAGGAAAGAGCAACAATTGAAGCATACATTTCATATAATGGCTTATCCTCAGTTTTAGTATTTGAGAATTAATATAGATGATGATAAATTATGGCACTTTCTGAAAAAAAAAAATGCTCCCTCTATATGTACTATTTATTTTGGTTCAGGTCTTTTTCTTTTTGTAATGTCATTTTTTTAGAGAGTAAAAGTGATTATGTCAATTGTTGTTGCATTATTAATGGCCCATCAATAAAGTGATTACATTTTAAAGCATTTATGAGTTTTCATAACTGAATGCATTAAGCAAGCAGAAGCAAAAATGACTTAAATAGTTAAATGATTCAATAAATTTTACATAAGAGCAACACCACATGCATTTTAGACCCTAAATTCAAAGAAGTTTGTAGAAAATATTTGGTAACTGTTTTATTGTTGATTTGACTTTCTATCTGTCCTCTTGAAAAGACACTTATCTATCTGGAGAAAAAAAAAAAAAAGAGTGATAAACCCACTAATTTTAGTGTCAAGCATAAACACATTTAATAATATTACAACAATATTGAGAAGTGAGGCTGTGTGCAACATTTTGCACTGAATATCCTGTGATCATAGGTCACAAGGTCCTAAATTGCAGTCCTTATGGTTTCTGTCATTGAGTTTGTTCTGAGTAGCAGTAAAGCCACTGAACCAAATACATGGTAGAATGGTAAGTACTCTTTTTTTTTTTTTCTTTATTTTCTTTTTTTTTTTTTATTTCCTATAAGTATATCAATACTGTCAAAGGCTGCGCATGCCGAATCCATGTGGGTTTTGTGATGTTCTTCTTCACGGACCTGCACAGTCTCACTGGCATCAGATGGACTGTTCATTCAGTTAAACACTCCTGTAAGCCCTGTAGGGATGACAATTGCAACATAAGGTTTTTTTACTTCACCACAAAGCTGCAAGTGAGACAATTTATTTTCTTTCTGTAGTATTAAATTATTTTTTAAGACCTTTTGGATCTGATAAGAATTACTTGAAATAGGTTATATCCAGACTGAAGGTTCTTATTGCATAATAAGGAGAGTATACAGATTTAATTGTTTTTCCCTTCTTCTTGGTAGTCTGAAAGTGTGCTAAATTGTAAAGTGTAGAGTATGTAGTGTGTAAAGAGTGTGGAGAGAGATGTATATGTATACATGTAAAGGGAAAATAAAGCTTGCACCTCTCTATTGCTGAGAAACTTTTTAATCGGTAGACATCTTGGCTCAGTTTTATTGTCAGTTAGGATGGACATGACAACAGATTCTGTTGCATATCCGAGGAAAAGTAATCAGGTACCTTATAGATAAAACAAGTGTCAATTTTCAGTATCAAACTCTGAATTCAAATATATTCAAAAAGCTTGTTTTAATGGTTTAAATTATTCTTACCGTTAGCGTAAGACATTCTCAGAACAAGAAAACACTGCTGAAGAGCCAGAGAGTAGCAGTCTTAAAACCCTAATTTAATATTTCATTTATAGCCGAGAAGCTGTCTTTCTCCATAAGTGAAACTCTAATTCATGCAGTGCTAATTTTTTAGTGTTTAGGAAGTGAGATGGATGACCTAATAAGTGACTTCACAGGTTAATTATGGAAAAAGACAAATATATGGCTTATTATAGTTGAATGTTCTCCCTCTACTTGGCATCGGTGAGGCTGCACCTCGAATCCTCTGTGCAGTTTTGGGCCCCTCACTATAAGAAAGACACTGAGGTGCTGGAGCATGTCCAGAGAAGGGCAACGAAGCTGGTGGAGGGTCTGGAGAACAGGTCTGGTGAGGAGCAGCTGAGGGAACTGGGGTTGTTTAGTCTGGAGAAGAGGAGGCTGAGGGGAGACCTTGTCACCCTCTACAACTACCTCGAAGGGGGTTGTAGTGAGGTGGGGTTGGTCTCTTCTCCCGAGTAACAAGCGATACGAGAAGAGGAAATGGCCTCAAGTTGCACCAGGGGAGGTTTAGATTGGACATTAGGAAAAATTTCTTCACTGAAAGGGTTGTCAAGCACTGGAAGAGGCTGCCCAGGGCAGTGGTGGAGTCACCAGCCCTGGAGGTGTTCAAAAAATGTCTTGATGTAGTGCTTGTAGACATGGTTTAGTGGGCATGGTGGTATTAGGTCAGCGGTTGGACTTGATGATCTCTGAGGACAATTCCTGAAAAAAAAATCTAAATAAGCATGCTTTGCCTATATTAGAAATAATGTTTTCACAAAAGTTGCTAATAGGTAGAATAACACAACAGGAAAATACTTTGAGAAGAAAAACGTGGTAGGCTTGTGTAGAAGGAGATAGGAATGTTATTTCTGTCAGTTGCTGCTGTGTAATTGGGATACCCATGTGTAGAAGCACCAGTTTAATATCTGAAGAAGTAGAAAACCTGACAAGATAACATTGTAATTGCTGTATAGAGTGCATTCACAGCAATCTCATAAATAGATCTGTCTAGGTGAAGCCTGCGAGCAGCTGACGGGGAGCACAGAGTAGCAAATGCTATCCGTCTCGGAATAAGGAAACCTTTATACTTGCGTATTACCTTTGTAACCCATAGCAAGGTTCATCCATATTCCCAGGGAAGTTCCCTGTGCTAGGCCTATTTACTGCAGGTGCTGCTTGTCTCCGAGGTCTGTGGCACTGTCTTTCCACTTTGAGCGATGCTTGTTGTACAAGCATGAAAATACCTATGTGCAGAGAGGTGCCGCAAGATCAGTCTCTCCTGAAGGCACTGCTCGGTATCCTTATCCTTCTCTCGAGCAAGTGTTGTTTTCTTCTGGGTGATACACTTGCAGAGAGGGGAAAAAATCTTGGTAACTGTAAAGGAACTGGAAAGCTGGTTTTGAAAAGCTTGGAAAGTGGACACCTTTTGGCCTACGATGTCAAACGTGCGTCGAGAAGGGGTGGCGAGATGCCAGCTGTAAGTACTGCAGCACGTGGCACTGCCTTCTCCCATCAGGATTCTGAAGAGATCTGGCTTTCCACAGAGAAGCATTTCACAGGATGGAGCAAGTGTACTGTACAATATCTAGAGGTTGACCGGTGGAGTGAAATACAATATAGTTTGCCAACTTGCTGCTGGATACCTAACAGGAATTCTGGGACAAGTCTAGTACCAAAGCAAATTATTATGTCTTGTATTGTCCCCATGCCAAGTGTATTTCACTGTGGAAAATCTCCTGCTATTACTACTTGAATATTTTTAAAGGATTACAGAAGTCTGAAATAGGTTATCTCTTAGTTCTTTGCTCTTACTTCCAGAAAATGATATGCTTTGTTCATTTAGGTTACTTTGCAAGTATTTTCATTTCTACAGTTATCTTGCTTCTAACTCCAAAGAACTGATCATGAGGTCTGTTCACTATGAAGCGAAATTCAAATTAAAAAATACTATAAATTTATTGAGAATTAGGTTTTGGTATTTCAGCATTCACAGCAGAGGGCTGTGCGTGTATGGGGAGAACAGACATTACAGTTCTGAATCACAAAAAGTAGCTTATTTTCTAAGTCCTTATGTATTCATAATTTTAGAATATAAATAATGGCTTCTGGATCGCATTTACTGTTAGTTAATGACCTTGCTTAGGACCCGAGTTAATTCAAGTAATTGTCCATTGCCAGATAATGCTCTTTCATCGGTCAGTCACTGATTGATTTCTATAGATGTTGGGATAAATAAAAGGCAGGGATCTTTTTAAAAGCATGGGTTTATTCACTCTAAATGGCCAAGTTGGTTTGGTTTTCTCAATTTTTTTTTTAAATTTGAGTGAATGAGTGGATAGATAACACAATTTTTATGTGTTTATATCTGTATTTCTTAAATACGCTTTTATTATGAAAACAGCTTAACACTAAATGTATGTTATCTATTCAGCCCGCAGTTAAAGTTGTATACATTAATTACAGGTCTATCAATAGATTATGGGGAGAACAAACTTTACTGGATCAGTTCAGGAAATGGAACCATAAACAGATGCAACTTGGACGGTGGTGGTCTTGAAATAATAGAATCTATGAAAGAAGACTTAACGAAAGCCACAGCATTAACCATTATGGGTAAGTCCGGTGGTAATAACATAGTTCTTCAATGATTGGAAGCTAATTAATAGTGAAATAGCAAAGGCTTGGGAAATCTATTGGGTTTTTTTATGTAAATAATACATACAGAACATTCGTGAGTGAGACTGGTTTGTTTGTGAAAAACATTTTTTTATATTTTAACAGACAGTTTACAATCTGTATTGCAAGTACATGTTTCTAAAATTAGTCACGTATGTATACACAGGATGAAGGTGACAGACTGATGGCTTGTATTTACTGTAGTTACTTGTAAAGTATGTTGGAAGGAGGTGTGTCATGCTTACTTCTTTCTGCTGTCTTAGTTCAGAATAGCCTCAGCTTGTCAGATCGACTTGCACTTTGTGAAGACTTCTTCGGGTTATAAATTGATTATTGATGCTTTGGATTTTCAGATGTCTGCTAATATTCCACATATTAAATAGGTTGGAAAAAAGGTTGTTTTGTTTGTTGTACTTTGCACATTAGAAATACTTAGAATGTTCAAAAACGTCGAAATTATCAAAAAAAAAAAAAAAGAAGAATGTAACATAAGGAAAAAATCCTAAAAAGTTCAATAATTCATTAAGTTCCAGTCTGATGAATGTTGTGAGACTATTACTTTGAATTGGCTGTTTCTCATATACATCTTCAGCTCTTGGCCCTTGCTGGAGCTAGGATACAGTGTGTTGAGAATTCCAGTCTGACTCAGAACTAGTATTTCTATGGTTCTAGAGATAACCTCAGAGCTTTCCATATTTCCTCCAACTGCTTTACTGACCTCTGTTCTGATTCAATTAAAAATTATTTATATTTATCTTCAATGTTAGAAAAAAAAAGTTTCGTTGATAAGTAGACTTTTGCTGGGATCAACTGCCAGAGTGTTTTTATACAGTATTTTATTTGATTGATTAATTATATAATATACATACAGATGGTGTGCTTGTGAAAGTTATGCTGACTAAACTACAGATACTTTATGCACATGGTGTAAATTAAGTTATAGTTTAGAGTAGTAACTGCTGAAATAGTTTTATTATACACATATTTTCCAGTATTGAACTCTAAATGCTTTCAAAACGTATTGGAGAGGGGATGTTTGATATATGCATTCATAAACAAAAGCAAGTTTTTTGTGTCAGGAGGAGTCATGTATGTTAATATAGATAAATTGTTTGTTGTTGATTTGATTGTGACTAGAAATAGAATAAATAGATGACCTTTAGGGAGCTATTGGAAGTCTTTAATATGAAATTTGTTCACATTGTCACTGGGATGTCTATGATATCAAGTATTCATCTGTGATTCACAGAAGCTATAACAATGATGATCCATCTGGGATATTGAATAAAGAGTTTATAGCTCTCATTTAAAAACGAATGTTTCATGCTTGTTTGGATGAAAGTAGTTGAATTTTTGCGGGTGCGGAGATGCAAGAGTTACTGCTGCATAGTTTTAAAGCATATTCCCAGTTTGATGTGCTTTGGTTTATGGCTGAAGACAATTCGTCCTACTCAAAGTTGGTAAAAAAACCTTACGATGTGTTTGGGTTTTTCTGTTTATTTTGCTTTTGCGTTTTGTCTTTGGTTCAGAGCCATAGTTGTGGTAAATGCCATTGCAGTATGATTCCGTATGTAAATCTGTTGGAGAAAAGTGCAAACAAATAGTTTTATAAACAGCACTGTATGTGCTGATTGAAAAACATGGAAAGTTTCTGTATTCATTTCTCCTGTATGATTTTATATTGTGGAACATACTGTAGCAACATAAATGCCATCTATTTTCCTGAGATGCTTGTGGCTTTGAGTCATATTATAGTCGGGCTTTTGTGCATGTAAAATGGATCAGAACAGAAAATCCAATGTGATATCCAACAAGGCATCTGTAATTGATAGAGGATCATAACTGATAGTATATAAATAAAGAAGAAGGAATAATTTTGTCTAGTGTAAGATTTGACATGGCAGTATGTGAAAATTTAGTACCCCTGTTGATCTGTTTGCCTACAAGTTTAATAGGAAGTTTTAGTAGGTGAGTCACAGTAATTATGATCTTTATTGCATCATTTTTGCACCATTTCATAAATTTTCTTGACTGCTTTTATCTAAAAGCAAAGAAACACAACAAAATCAACATGAGCTGGAATGTTTCTTCTCTGTGTATATACTAAACGGACTTTTTTTACCGTTTGAATTCATCAGTGACTGCAAAGAAAACAGACGTGATATCTGTGCCCAAACTCTTAACTGTTTTGTGGCATTTAGGTTCCACTCAGCGCTACAGAGTCTTGTAGGCTTCTGCTGTCTTTTGCATTTTGCTGTCTTTTGCATTTAGTGTCTCTCCAGGTGAAAGCACTGTTTGGGACAGCTTATATTTTTTGTTTCTTTATTTTAAGTATACAATCTTGTCATATTTTTTGGTAATATTTCACTGGGGCAGAAAGAGGAGATAGAGGTGGTTATTTTGAGACACCCTTTGTGCAATAGTCTCACCAGTTGTGCGTTGGTCAGTTGTTGATCAGGAGGACATCTGTTGCTCTGAAGAGCTAAAACAAGGCAACGGTGGAGGGAACCATGGAATGGTGGACTGAGGGGACAGGGTAATGCGATCTGAGATAGCCCTGGTTCCCGTGCCCCCCTCCCCTCTGCTAAGGATAGGTGCACTGGGGGAGAAAGAATTGTCAGAAAAATTGCGAATTTCTCATAAGTTTACTACACCGGTGATCTCTTCTAGCACCTCAGTCCTTCTTGCTTCTAAAATTTTATAATTTTTTTTAATCTATTTGTGAAGCACGTCCTTACTGGCATCTTTCCCAGCCATCAGAAGCATGAGCTCCCAGAGACACCTGAGGATAATCCAATAGTGTATATGAAGAGCTAGTGTCTTCCATTCTTTGTCTGGACAGCATTTTGCACAGAAAACTAACATATCTTCTGCCAGTTACCAGTGGTTTTTGCTATATCTTGGGTTCCAGAAGATGTTTCAGAACTATAAAAAACTAATGACTGACAAAGGCTTGGCCCAAGACTGACTCCTTTCTGGCTTTGGTAATCTCTGTGCTGTTCTGCTGCCTCTGTGTTATCTTGATCTTTGATGCTGTTAATTTCAAAATGGGAAAAAAATAAGCAGTTAGGCATTCCATGGTTGTGTACAGAGATATGAACTGAATAAGCAATGCTAGCTGAGTCAGTAAAGTTTTGTTTTGCTTTTTAATATAGCTTACGGAGTAGTTCAGAGCTTCACCAGGCAATGATGGATGCAACTCCCCTTTAGTACTCCTCCTCAATCTCCTCATCATTTGTACTTCAATGCTTTGAATCCCTCTGTTTTAGTGCGGCAGTTTAGCAGTTGAAACCTGTTTGGAAGTTACCACTACCGTTTCAGGTGTTTACTGTTGTTTAGTCCTTTCCAGACCCTATTTAACATTTTCCTACTATTATATCATTTAGTGGGAGCATATAGAAGGTAATGACAAGACATAAAAAAATGATATTAACAAACAAGTTGTTGCTAAAGTGACTCTCAAGTTTATTTTTGGAGGGTAGTGGAAACAAGTTATATAATTCACATCTTTCTGTATTTTCGTTCTTTCACTTACTGGTTTTCTACTAAGTGGTGTCAGTCATCTTTCTTTTTCCATATGCTGAGCTCCAAAATTCCTGGTCTTTTAGTGCCTGCTTTTGCTACTCCTTTTTGAGCATGATATAGCTGGGGTGAAAATTACATTCCCTTTGAAAGTAAAGCATTTGAATAAATACAAAGTTACTATTTTTTCCATGCCCTTAAGCATACAAAACATTATTTTTGCTGTTGCCACTCTGTATTACAAAGATGTTGCTACAAATCCGTGATGAAGTCACATTTGCTTTTCTACTCTTCCCACTTTTTTCTTCAAATGCACATTCACTATGTGAAATGTCAATGCATGCCACATCAGCCATTTTTAGTTATTTTACCATTCAAAAATGCGTGTGAATGCTGTGTTTAATACCTCCCACTGTTTATTGTCTTGCATTTGGTCAACGGTAATTTTCTTCTGCTACTATGTTAACAGTTCGTTTTATTTTGTTCAAAACCCAAAGTTTCTTCTGGTCTTTTAGAAGCTTATCTGCTTCACAGCACGCCCCACATAAATTTCAACACCTACTGCTGACACCATTTACAAGTTGATAACAAATGAATCCATTGTTTTGGAAACTCAGGATGTTCCATGTGAGAGAATCTCTGATTTTCTTATATGGCAGAATGATATTCTTTTCAACATTAAGAAAATGGTTCCTATACTTGTGTTAAGGTTTGAGTTTAATATATCATGTTGAGTATCTGACTTTAGCAGTTTTCCTGGTAGCCAGTGTCTGAGTGCGATCAAATTTTATAGATGTATTTGGCATTCTGCATGAAATCTCATTTCCCCCTTTCCAAGTTACTTGATGAAAATGGTGCCTTGACTGTAACAGAAACTGGCTGGAAATTTACCTTTCTTGTGAGAACTGTACCTGTTTCTGGATTGGTGAGCAGTCTTTGTACTACAAGATTTGAATTCCAAACTTGCAGCGATTTCTTATGTATTTCCAAACTGGTGTATTCTTTCTTGAATGATATATAGCTCTGAATCACAAACTGAGCATTGCTAGAAAAGTATTGATTAGTTACTGTAAGTTTGTAGCTCAGAAGAAGAAGATTTTGAAGGCTTCTGTCAGCAGTTTTGATGTGGGTGTTTGATTGGATTTTGTATCAGGGCCTCACAGAAATACAGTTTACACAAAATCATAAAATTCAGCTCATTTCACTGAAAAATAGGAATATGATATAGATCAAGAAGACTATATAATAAGGATCTAATTTGTTGTGCATTGGTGATTTTTTTTTCTTAAATACTTGTGGTAGAAACCTCAAAGGAAGTATTCCGTGATGCTAAGTAGTAGCTTTTTTCTAGTTGTTCTTTCCCAGTATAAATAGAGTAACTTCACACAGTGAATGATTCTATGTGTAAGTACTAT